GGATCTCTGAGAGCGAACCAACCCAGCAGGAACCGACTGTGCAACAAATAAGCAGGAATAAATGGAGATGGATTGGCCATACTCTGAGGAAAGGATATAATGATAGTAATAATAGTTTTGCAAGGATTTCGTCGAAAAAAACGAAATCAGCTAAATTAGTTATTTGCAACCACAGAGAACTAGGCATAGCTTTGTTGTCCAGATAAAGACTCTCTAGGGTCAGGCGACCACAAGACACACTACATATCTCGAACCTAACTCCATCAAGTTGTAAGATAAACAAGTTAGTTCATTATCCACCTATTCCTGTCTGTGTAGCATCAACGTTGACTAGATCATTAGTGGCACAGTGATTCTGAGTTTTAAACTAAGGCAAAACAGCCAATAAAACGCCATGTCTTTTCTTGACTAATGTCGAGTTATTAAAGAAGTTCATAGAATTCCTGCACATATACTGAAAAACTCTTTGGTAGTGAAATATTTCAATTTATAATTATTATTGTTTCCTATAGTTCTTGGGAGGAGTATTGGGCCTCAGCCACATGTCTCCATTGAGTTCGGTTCTCTGCCAACGCTTTCACCTGGCTTCACCTCTGCCCGCATGCCATCATCTCCTCTTTGCATGAACTCCTCTATGTCACCCTCCCACTGACGACCAACTCGCCTCTTCCGATTCGGGTTCCACTTCAGAGCCTGTAGTGTGATGTCACGTGATGGTTTGTTTTTTCAGAGTATGGACAATCCACCTCCATTTCTTCCTGCTTATTTGTTGCACAATCGGCTCCTGCTGGGTTGGTTCGCTCATTGCAAGAGATCCCTGTTGCTGATCTTTTCTGACCGGCAATCCGATCTTGACTATTGAGGGAAGACAACTGTTAATGAAGGTCTGTAGTTTGTTTGAAGAGCTCTTCATGATGCGCAAAGTAAATATTTCAATAGACTTACCAAAAAGAAATTAATTGGTTCCCTTGATAAATTTCGACAGAGAAAAAGAGACTAGAGTTGCAGTATAAAATGATATCATCAGTCTATTTCACAGGTTCTCATCAGCTGCAAACTACCTGAAATTACAATGGCTATAAAGAATTAAGTTTTGTTGAAAAATGCCTTAAGGAAAACGGGTATCCAAAAGGATTTATTCTAAAGTACAACAAAGAAAGAGATGAGAAAGAGAAGTATCCAACAGTTGGAAAGAAGGAGGTGTTCATTTGCCTCCCATACAAAGGGAAACAGTGTCACAAAAGATTGAAAAGAGGATGAAAGGAGCAATGAAGAGGTGCTTCCGTGCAAGCAAGCTGGTGACACCATACAGCACCACATGCTCTACAAACCAAATGAAACTGGATAAGTACCCTGTTGATGTTACCTCCAACTGCATTTATAAATTTGCGTGCATCTGCGGCAGCAAGTACATTGGAAAGAGAGAAAGAAGGGCTTCTATGCGGTTTTCAGAGCATATTCCAAGAAACGTATGCTTAAAAGGAAGTAGATATTTACAAAGTACAAATACCAGACACCCATCAAGTGGATACAGGTCATTTCGTCGAGATTTCCAAATCCTTCAAAATATTAAACATACAAAGGGCAGTGAATCTACTACGATTTACTGCTGAAGCAATTGCAATCGAACGTCACAGACCAAACTTATGCACAGAGAAAGAGAGTGTAGTCAATTTTTACTCCTTTGGTAACCGTATTACTTTCATTACACTGATTAGTTATACACACTAGTGGGCTCAACTCACTACGCAAGTTTTCAAATTGATGAACTTTTACCTTCTTGAGTTGCCATGTTGACATTGTTTACTAGATTTTTCTGTTTCCTGTCTTCTCTCACACCCCCCTTTTTTCTTTTTTCATAGAGTGATAGTATATAAACTGATGGTAACTTAAATTATAAATTATGATACTTATATTCCAGATGCGTTCGTTCACCTTATGATGCTTTCTCTATTACCTTTCAAACAATAAAGTATGAAATGTCGTTATTATTTATAACCATTGTAATTTCAGGTAGTGGTTTGCAGTTAACTGATGAGAACCTGTGAAATAGAATGATGATGGCATCATTTAATGCTGCAAATCTGGTCTTTCTTTCTCTATCGAAATTAATTAGCTTTGAAGTAAAACTTGTCCTTCCAAAAAACTGACACTAATTAGTCAATTATTTAGAACTTATATGCATGATTTTCAAAATTTTTGCTTATTTGTGATGTGTGTAGGACAAAACACTGACTTTTTCATCTATATCCACCAAAGTTATTTTATGTGTTGTTAATTAATTTTATTGATCAGAGGACATATTTAAAAATGGCGCTTCAATTGAATAAACCATACCGTAAAAATTTAAAACACTCGTAAACAGACTTTATAACCTCAGATTTCACTTTCAGATAAGGGGAGAATTTTTTCCCTGGCTTATATTTTGTAAACAAGGCATAAATTATAAATGAAAATATATTGATCAGTCACCAAAGTGAACACAGTGTTGTGCGAATTAAATTCCTTCCTTGATGTTAAGCTAGATAGAAGAGAGAATGGAACGCTGTCAAGGTCGATTCACCGAAAGTCAACATTCACTGGGCAGCACAATAAGCTCAACAGTTGGGTACCTTTAGGGAGAAAGAGAAATCTTATTCATTCCTTATGCTCCAGAATTCGTAAAATCTGCTCTGCAGAGACTATCGATAGGGAACTAGATAACCCTCTATCAAATCTCCTTAACAATGGTTATCCTACAAGGTTCATTGAACGTAACATCAAGAAAGAATCCGCCCCTAGACAAATCACAGTTCCAAAGAAAAAAACTGTTTATGAGTCTTGCATTCAAAGGTGACACTATATCGGAATTGATTAAAAATCGTTTATCTAAATGTGTTAAACGCACTTTTCCTGCAGCTGACTTGCATCTAGTTTTTACCAGCCGAAATATGATTAGACAATGCCTCAAGGATAGATTACCGCTTTTGTCCACATCTATGTGCATTTACTCTTTTACCTGCTCTTGTGGAGCTGTTTATATTGGGCGTTTTAAGCATAATCTCTGAAAACGTGTAGCTGAACACTATCCGGTGTGGTTAATGAAAGGCGAACGTAGAACTGCGAAGTCGTCTATTTGTGATCACCTGTTAGAGTCTGGTCATTTGGCCCCACGTGATTCATCTTTCAAAGTTATCTACATGGCAAAATCGAATCGATCCAAAAGTTTACGATTTCTTCACTTATGCATAGCTAGCCAAAGCTTTAGCTATACATGAACAGAAACCTAAATTATGTGTTCAAAAACGTTTTGTCAAACCCCTTTCTTTACCTTGGTCATAGTAATGTTCTTTTAGTTTTTATTTTATTTTACCACTTGAATTCTTTCCACTTCACTGCACATCTTCATTCTTATCGTAATCGTACTCCTAATTTTCAAAATTTTAGACAACACTTGACATTTTTGATATCAATTCACTTATAAAACAATCTTCAATAATTCTGTAATTTATCCACTTCAGCTCTACCTCTTATAACATTGTACTTATTGTTATTCTTATCACATATATACATGTATATTGACTGAGGAATTATTTAACGACACTTAATAACCTTTTTCTGTAATATAAATACGACAGTACAGCTTGAAAATGAAGTCGTTGAAAAGAAATTTCTCCGCTGAACAAAAAAACTGTGTTTTTACTTATAAATTCTATGAGCCAAATATGCAATGTGGTCATCAGCAGGGTGACTTGCAATAGTGGTTCACAAAGAATTGATGCCTGAACTGACATTAAGAACTAGACTTGGGATATTGGTTACTCTTTGGTGACCAATGAGTTCATTTATTACAGTCCTACAAGAAGTCAGTATTGAGGTCGAATAGCTCCGTGGTAAAGTCTGTGACTTCATTAGTGGATATCTAATGTCATGCAAACTGGAAGATATACAGCCGAAAATCAACAAGGGGGCAGAATAAGCAACCGGGAACATAGAAAAAACTCTTTAAAAAAAAAACACCAGTCACCACCAACGTAAGAAATCTAAAGGAGTGCATCTCATTCACTTATCACGGGAACATTGTCTCAACTGCAGGCAATACGAATAGGGTTGTCTACGTTAGGATTTTGAAATCAAAACAGGCCTCTACTGTTCTGAAGTCATTATGTTAATCTGTTGCAATCAGTAAAAGCCTGTGAAACAGGCTTCAAACTCTCAGTAAGTGCTAACTTCTCTTTCTGTCGACATTGAAAATCAGATGGCCAGAAAGGATGAGATACAACAAGCCTTGGCTACAAACTACCGAATAGCCTACTACACAACAAATATTCCAAATGAAATAGGAATGGGCTGGATACTCACTAAGGAGACTATCAAGTGACGTCAAGCGTCATACCCTCGAGTTGGACTAGAATAAGAAACAATGGATTGAGCATACGAGAATGACATGTTGGAGATTCTTTTTGAGGAAGAGATGAAATCCTCTGGATAATCACTGGGCTAGGCAAAATGAACTGCAGAGAACATTGTGAAATGGAGATGCGTTGCTGGAGGTGCATATCCTACTCGGAACTCAATGGAATAATAATAATAAAATGATAATTTAGACATTGTATAAATAATTCAAATGAACCTTCGTCAAGCTTCGACAGAATAGTTCTAAAATATTTGGGCACCGAGTGAGAAGTAGACATTTGTAAAAATAATTATATTTGTAAAATCTTAGCGAGATTGAAATGAGTAATTCCAACGTTTCCTGTGTTCGACAATCTGGTCCTAACTTCTTCAGGGAAATTAATCCTAATTAACATAACAGAGGTTTATATATATAAAATGAACATTTCATGTGTTTAAAAAACTTTGTCCAATCATGATACATAAAACAAGTATCAACAAGTATAATAAACAAAATTGTATATAATTAACTTTGAAAACAAATTAGCATAAACAATTATTAACTCTTTCTGTGGTGTTAAATAATAACGAAATAGTTATTACAAAATAAAAAAAATATGTCTTACCTTTACAAGGTGCCAGTACATCAAGTGGTGAACGAAACACACGTGTATCACATCCATTTGGATGTCTCATAGCTGAATATGATCTAACGCCTATAGATTTGCCTAAACTGATATGCTTATCACATTTACCGTGTTTATTTTTAACACTGTTACTACTATTATTGGTATTATTATTAGTAGTATAATTAGTACAGCTGTGCTGTTGTTGTTGTTGTTGCTGCTGCTGCTGCCATCGATGATAATTATGATAGTTTGAATGACGATCTCCTCTACAAATAGATACTGGTGAAGAGGAAGTCCTGACAGTCAGTTGATTTGATGAATCATAAGGTGAAGATAATATATCTGTATTAGGTTTTGTTGAACTGGATCCAATTGAATTTGGTGAATCCAGTCGACGTAAATGAAAAAATGAACGTGATCGTAGCGGGAAATTACGATTATTGGTAAAATCTGAATTACTACCCATATTACTGTTATTATCATTATTATTAGTAGTAGTAACAGTAGTAATAGAACTAGCGACAAAGTCATCTACTTTTTGATTTTCTAACGAAGATGAAAGACATTCACTAGATGTTAGTAAATTATTTCTATGATCATTAAACGTAGAATGATTTGATAATGTTCTGTCAGCAGGTTGTAATGACTCCTCATTTGTAATAACATGATTTGACGTGTTACGACTGTCTAGATGATAGAGGTGTTTATTGGAATGACTTGCTGTCAGCGTTGTCATTATTGCTGTTTCCGTTACTGGCGTTGTATTGTTACTATTATTATTATTATTATTACTAATAGTAGGTGTAGACTGTGTGGAAGTTAGTGAGTCTAGATGTTGATAGTACTCTGTTTCTAAGTTTTTACTTCGATAATTTGGAATATCTGAAGATGTTACCACGGCACTAGATACAAGTGATGATGGAGCACTGAGTAAGTTATATTCCACAATTTGTGCCGGTGAATAACATGTATTCCCTGAGTGTTCTTCATCTTTATTATTGAGAAGTGTTACAGGAGGTTTAAAATCATGCAGTGTACTTAACTGTACTTCTGAAGTATTCGATGATAGCCGAGGTAGGCAAAGATTTTCGGGTGTATTTGATGAATGACACAATGAAAGAGGGATAAGCGTTAACTCAAAAATGTCATCTGTTTTAACAGAATTTTTATTTAACCTTTCTGGAGTTAATGTGTTTAGATTCGATGTATGCCCAATTGTTGTTTGATGTGTTTTTCTGTCTTCTCTAGTGTGTTGTGATGATGTCATTAATGAATGATTTTTTAACGCAGTTGATTCATTGTTAGTTACTGTTTGTTTAGACTGTGGATGCAGTTTGCCATTATTCAACATAGGTGTACATTGTGTTAAAGATATTTTCTGAATGGAAGTGTTTTTCTCTCTACTGATTTCATCATCAATCTTAATAGAGTTTGTCATATTTTTATTCGGTACAGAAGAAGAGATTTGAACTTTGGAATTTTTAGTCGCATTGTCTCCAATATTTCGGATCATCATTATTGATAATATTATTTAGACATCAGGCTCGTTTCCATTTCTGTTGAAACTAACTTCCAACTGAAAATCAAATAAAAACAAATAGGAGAAAATATTGTTGAAAAAGCCAGTCAATTATAAAGCCAACCTATAGAAGACCTATCATCGTGTATATTTCAGTTTCATTGATCCAGTTTAAGTAATTTCGGGGTCATTGGAAAATAATGTGGTAGTGGAGACAGTTGTGCGTCGGTGGTATAGCGGTTAGGACGCCCGCCGACCATGCATATGGTCCGGGGTTCGATCCCCGGCCGGCGCACTCCTTTACCTCACTGAGCCAGAAATAATGCTGGTAAAGAGGAAAGGTTGGGCATGAGGTTAGCAACCCCATCTTGTAAAAATTAAACACTGCTACAGAAACTTCAAGCCACTAGCTTGGAGCCCTATGTTCCACTGGGAACATGTAGGAAAGAAAAAAAATGGAGACAGTGTGGTTTCATATCACCACTTACTATGGTGTCTGTAGGTAGTGTTTAGCACTAGAATGAAAGGCTTCGTAACTAACTGCATAATAATAAATACTCCTGATTGATTCAGATGAATGGTAGTTCTACACCGTTCACACCAACCAGTAGTGTGTACTTAGCCACATCCAAAAGGCTTTGTGGTTGTGCTTATCAGAGATACACCTAGTGTGCCTCATCTCAGTAAGGCGAATCATTTCATATCACTCGAATTCTGGCTAGCTACTTGGGCAAGTTAGTAATACCATAAATCTGATTTCACATTCCCCAGTAAAGCATCCAGGCTGAAAAAGAAACGCAACTGCTATCTTCTCAGTCATGTCTACAGTGAAACACTTGCTTTTAATTTAGGTGCAAGACACCTTTAAATAACTATAACTAATATGAATTAATTTCATGGCAAGACTGAACCTCTGGTATTTTAACACAAAAGTGGCTATCCTGACAAGATGTAATCTGACAAGTACAAACTGAAAAAAAAAGCATAAATACATAGAAGTTTTGTTAAAAGTGTAAACAAAATTTAGATTATGGGATTTATGGGGACTGTGAATTCATTTAATTTTTGTTGGTAGATTTCGTCAAGAACCAGCATCAATAAGACAGAGCGTTGAAAACCAGTGAGTACTAGATAGATCCTTCGCCTCCTTTTAGGGACTCTTTGACAGTAACCTCCTACGACTTCTCGAGAGATTAAATCCAGGACCTTCAGATTATGAGACCGAGACGACTGATCATCATCCAGCCACTTTGGCTGGAATTCAGTTGTTTGTGAATTCTTAATTTGTCATCTTTAACTTATCTTGGTTCGTGACAAAGTCTAACAGTTCAGAATCCCAGAAAATCCCATAATCTAGGTACTGATCTCCACATCATTGATGATTACTGGATGAATATTTTTAAGCTGTCTGTAACAAGAAGTCATGATCATTGGTGTCCACTATATCATGGTGAAGTCAATGCTCATCAAGGATATTCACGAGGGAATCGCCATATTACTAACTGACAGGAATTGATATTCATAGATAATTGGCTTCCAACTCAAGTGCCTGAATGGTCAATGAGCTTGGAGATCCCTGGTGGGGTCGTATGTGCGCGCTACCAAATAGTCCAAAAATAGGAAGAAACAGCTGTCCAGTGCACCTTGATGTGGATTCTTGATGAAGTTTAGCAATTTAGATCAAATTTAAAATTGAAACTGTGTCCTTATTCGACAAAGTAAATATACACAATTGGTTTCACTAAACGTGACTACCAATTCAGTGCATTATTTATTTATTTATTTATTTTTGATTACAGCTTGATCCCACACCGTATTTTTGGTACAAGTATGGAATTTTCAGCATGGATATCGGTAGCTCAAATTTCGCAGGCCGACCATAGATATCAGGTGGGCGTCGGCGAGGGCTCGAACCCGGGATCATGTGCATGGTCGGCGAGAGTCCTAACCACTGTGCCACCGACGCACAGTGTCACTCTTTATGCAGTGAAATCTTCTAATGATTTTCTTCTGAGTCAGTACAAAGCTAACAAGTCATTGGTTTGTGGATAAAATTTCTGTTCAAAGAAAAATGTAATAATATAGAAATTTTTGTGTTAATTGATCCAGTCCTATTAGATTTTAGAAATTTTTCCTTTTCTTGTTTACCAGGTGTACAGTCAGCATTTCTCATGTTACAGCCGTACTGTTTACTGGGGGTCGCTTCTGTTCTGTGATCAAATAATACAGTCAGTTGATCAACAAATTACATAGGTAACTAAAATTTACTCCAAAGTGAGCACAAATTCATTACATTTCTTCGCGTGTAACATGAAATTTACATGAGAAAGAATAGTTTAGACAGCTGATTTCCTAACTAACAGGAATTTGGATTGTAGAATATTTAAAACTTTTCCATTATGGGTAAAATTTATTTTGATAAAGTCTCACAGTGTTATGCAGTAGGTAATATTTACTGATGACAACGTTTCGAGCACAACTGATTATCGCTCATTATCATATCAAGACACTACTCATACAACTTTCTAACTACATTTATATAATTCCATTATTTTCCATCGCTTGATTTGGTTGATAGTAGTATTTTCCATATATTTCTGGTATAAGTGATGAGTCATTGCATCCTGTTGCACGTGTTGGTTGTAAACTCGATGATCAAGGATTCAGTAATCAACCTGTCTCTCCACCTACCTATATTACTTCTTCGAATTTTGACCCTCTCCCACCCTATTGTGTGGTTGTGTATTAATGCATGTAGTGCGATTGCTGAGCTGTTTTCTAAATTACTCATCTTCTCTGGGTCAACTATTCTTACCTTTGCCGAATTCTTATGTTCCGACAAACTGAATACCCCGCCTGGTTTACTAGTTTGACCTATGTAGTTGACCTCACAGTCATTGCAGGGTATTTTGTAAATTATGTTGTTTTGTCTAATTGGGTCAACCGACAGGGTCCTTTAACCTACAGAGCTTGTCCCTGAATGAGTTTGTAGGTTTGAATGCCACCCCAATTCCTGCCTTATTAAGAATCCTACGAAGGGTCTCAGATGTCCCCTCCTTATATGGTATATCAGTAGATGACATATATTCTCTCTTATTTATGTTACCACTACTACTTTCACAATTATTTTTAATTTGCTTTTGGCCTTTTTCGATTTTTTTTAATGAATTCTCTTGATACCAACACTTCTTCTAACTGTTTTATTTCATCATTTAGGTCTTTCCTTGTACTACTTAGTGGTACTACTCGGTTTGTTAGCGATGGAAAATAATGGAATTATATAAATGAAGTTAGAAAGTTGTATGAGTAGTGTCTTGATATGATAATGAGCGATAATCAGTTGTGCTCGAAACGTTGTCATCAGTAAATATTACCTACTGCATAACACTGTGAGACTTTATCAAAATAAATTTTACCCATAACGGAATTATACTCTAGCACAGTGCACAAGTTCTATTCTTATATCGATTTACAATTTTTATTTATCCTTCAACAGTGAAATGAAAATAATATGACATAATATGATTCCAAGTTTGGTGTAGAGATCATAATTTTAGTTATCACATCAAACTTCTGGAACATATTCCAGTGGATAGTGACCAACAGTGGAATGTAGGAGGACATGGAGCACTTTGGGTTCGGTATAATCAATCAACGGGAAATGCAAAATAACCTAAAAGCAAATAAAGTGGAGTACAGTTCAGAAATAGATGCTTTCAAGAAAATTCGTGCAGTGTATACCATTTAGCTCCATGCTAATATGCTGAAGTCGAATATTAAGTGGTATTTTGCTGAAATGAGAGTGAATCTCAAGAATTACACTGAATATCTAGTCTGTAATGATCATTTTCTCAACAGTGTTCAGATGAAGGTTTGCAAATTTCTAAGCCCGTTTAATTATTAAGTGATAATAGTTAATTTCCTGTAGTTGTTTTGTAAGGATTAGTTTTTTTATGAGTGGATCACGGATTGATGTCAGTTAGAGAACCATTGGAAAGCCTGAAGGGAGTACTGAACATCTGTTTCGTCCGACTAGTTTGGGACTTTTCAGCAGTACAAACCCACCGGGGTTCGAAACCAGGACCTTCTGGTCACAAGGCGAGCTCGTATACCATTAAGCCACTGCGACCCGATCCAATGGCGAGTCCATGAATTCTAACTTCTGCCAATTCATGACATAGCGCGACCCTTAGCCAATGTCTTCGGCGAGTATTTGTCCTCACACCCGACTTGCTGCACCCTACTGGTCACAACGTCTCACTAGAACCTCAGGTAACTACCTAACTTGCCCTATTCAGGTGGGTAGTGTGTAGATATTGGCTAGGGGTTGCGCTATTTCGTGAATTGGCAGAAGTTAGAATTCATGGGCTGGCCACTGGATCAAGTCTCAGTGGCTTAATGGTTTTCGAGCTCGCTAGCCCTGTAACCAAAAGGTCCTGGGCTCAAACCCCGGTGAGTGTATACTGCTGAAGAGTCCCGAACTAGTCGGACGAAACAGCTGTTCAGTACTCCCTTTAAGTTTTCCAATGGTTCTCTAACCAATGTCAGTTCATGATGAAATCCTGTAACCAAAAGTTATATAATTAATCAAATATCATATAGTGACTGGGAGGTCAGTTATATAATTCAAAATAGTAGATCGGGCTGAGTTAGACTATTGAAACATAGAAATTTATCCAGGTCTGATAAGAATCTCACCTACATGTAATCACACAATAGGGTGGAATATGTTATCAACTCGTGTAAACACGTTGATGTGGTTGTAAGCAATAAATTGTTCTCTAAGCGACATCCAACCATCAATATTGTATCGATGAATGGTAAATCAAAAAAACTTACCAACCATTGAGTCGTTAAAAATCTTAGATACAGGAGAAAGTGGTCAAAAAGTACCATAAGTGAGGTGATACGAAACACACGTATAGTAGCAGACATGACTCAGGTGATACAGTTACACATATATGTATATATTGGTACTGATTTAAGAATAAATCAAA